TGTCCTTTTGTTCTTCAGTCTAGTTGTGGAGGACGTTGCTTCACTGGCCCAAGTTGGCACCATCATTGCGCTCTTCCTGGGCGAGGCAGATCAGTCACTGGCTTCTGGATGGCTGCTCATGGCGGCTGCTGGCCGCTCACACTGGCTGCTGGCTGCTCACTACACATGGTAGCCCATGGCAACCCACTGCAGCAGGGGCTGCAGCCTACGCCGTCACCGGCAACTCACGGCAGCCCAGCTCCAGGTTGAGCTGTTGTTCAGCATCTTAGTTGTAGAGGGCCGTGTCACTGATCCTCATGTGGGATCCAAACCGGGGCTCTCTGGCGTCCCAACCCAGCTCTTAACCAACGCGCCACTTGGCCGGCCCGAGATTAATTTTAAGTAATTGGTTTACATGATTATGAGGCTGGCAAGTCTGAAATGTGCAGACAGGACTAGGTTGGAGATTGGAGACCCAGGGAAGAGTTGATGTTGCAGCTTGAGTCTGAAGGCAGTCTGCAGGCAGAATTTTATATATATACATATATATTCAGATTTTTAAAAATATATGTTCTATATAGTACAAAGAAGTCCTGTGTGACTTAACCCAAGTTTCCCCAGTGGTAACATCTCACATAACTGTAATAACAATAGTCAGACCAGAAAACGGACATTGGTACAATCTACAGACTTGATTCAGATTTCAGCAGTTTTCATATGTATGTGTGTATAGTCGCATGTATCTGTGTATGAATTTTTGTAACTCCCACCTCAAATCAGATACACATCTGTTTCATCACCACAATATTTTTATCCCTTTTAAATACGTAAATACAGTTATCCTGCAGATGGCGAATATTGATGACTTAGGGAACTAGTGTATTAGGGTATTCATCTGAGGAGAAGAAGAGCTTGTGTCCAGTTTAGGGTGTTATCATCACTTCCTGATGTGAATCCCAAATTACCGTTTTGTTTTTTCCTAATATTAAGTAATTTCCAACACAGGGTGGAAGATCTCTGATCTTTTATTTTTATGCAGCCATACTAGGCAATCTTTAGCATGCAGCCATGTGCTGGGCTGCCTCCTGGGCCTGTTCTTTTGTTGTAAGAGGGTGGGACATCATACCAGACTGACGGTTGCCCAGATCATCTCCCCCAAACCCAGACCCCCCCCTTTACCACCCTCTTTCTAATCATATCAAATGCATTTACTTAATACTTTGACTTAATGTTTTTGGTTTTGATCTTCTATTGAAATATTCTTATCTTTTTTTTCTTGCCTTCTCTCCACATAGGAGGAAAAGAGACGTCGAGTTATATCCAAAGACCCGTAAGAATAATTAATATACCTTTTTATTCTGTGCAATGTATAATCTTGATTGCTGTAGTGACTTTACAGTAATGTTTTAGAAAGAACAACTTTATAGTGAGTTACCATGGTGACCATAGATGGCTTAAGGATGCTGAGTTTGGGTTCAGATTATAACCTTTGATTCTGGTAGAATTCTCTTTGCAGAGAATGAATTGAGGACAACTGGCAGTTGTTATAAGAACCAGATCTAAAGGTCATTTACCATATTAAATGTTAAACTAGCGTGTGCCTTTCAGGCTTCTTGAGATGAAGATCCCTTTTTGGGGTGGGAAGGAGGACCTTATGAAAACTGCTCCCTAGGGAGGAGTCTGTGAAAGTGATCCTTGGGGTGTGTTATTTTGCTTGACAGAGTTGCTAGACCACTCCCTGCAGAAGAACCAGAAAGAGTAAAACCAGGAACACACACGGAAGAGGAAGAAGAAAGAGATGAAAAAGTAAAGCCTGGTCACCTCCAAGTTTGTCACTTTTACATTAATCTCAGAGTCCCCATGTGGTTCTAGGAAAGGGATAATGGGATGAGGAGTGTATAGGAACAGAATGACTTTCACTAATGATCAAAATGATCTGACTTTGACTAAAACGCTTTTCAAACTCATTTTTCTGGTGGTTCTCTACTTGGAAGGTGGGTTATACAGCTGTAGTGATAGTAAGTACATCAGTGGTAGGCCTGGGGTCAGCTGGACCTTTGCTGTCTCATCAGTCAGTCATAGAGCCTTCAGTCTGTGCCCCTGCCCGCTTGCCTCTCTTGCTCACAGGGTCTTGGTGAAGATCTCATTTTCAAACATGTGAGGTGCTAAAATTCTATAGCATCATCCAGATATAAAGTTGTATTCTTAACTGAGATCAGACAAGTAGACCCCAGCTCCTTTGTAAAATCCATGTTTAAGGTTCTGTGAAACACAAATGTACCACCTGAACCCCTTGAAGAGGGGATGGGAGAGAGAATGAAGGTCTAACACTGGAAGCTTGACCATTAGACAGCACTGTCTCGTATGACAAAGGGCTGACATTGGTGGTCACAGATGATGAGGCAATATCGGGTCCCATTTTGGTTTTCATGTTAAGACATGGATTAGAAGTTTCTTACAATTTTTCGGAGGGTGGTGAGTACCTGTATTGGGAGCCTTTTAAAGAACGGGTATCTATTATTTTGCTCTAATGGAGGACCAACTAAGGTGTATGCTAATTCTTGAATCATTTGGTACTTGAAGCTAGTCTTTCATTACCTCTCCTACCTGATACTAGTTAAATTAGACAGCTATTATAGTTGGGACACATCAAGTTTCTTTTAGAATAGGCAGTTCTAGGGGGCTAGCTTGACCACCCTCCAAAGGAGATTTGGGCAAGACTACAGTCGCTTACTGGGGGTCAGACTCCCAGGATCTCTTGCAGTAGGAAGGTCTGCAGTGTGTTTCTTCTCTTAACACTACTGACCTGTGTGATCTCTTCACAAAACGTGTGCAGTTTCTGGGGCTGAATTCGATATGAGCAGTTTTTTGGATAGGTGTGTTTAGCTCTAAACTTGGGCTCAAAATGATGTGTTGTCCATGTTTGAGATGGAGCTTTTGTCCAGATTGTGTCATCCTACTTCATTCTTTTATTATAGATTCCTAGTTTTGATATAAAGTTATCATCTATGAGGTTGTCAACACTTACTTGTGATAGGTGATAGGGGACTTGGGGGTAAATACTTCAACTGCAGGATCTGTCCTCTAAGAGTTTCTTTAATTTCCTGCCTACTTATCCCACCAAAAAAATTTACTAGCTTGAAGGTAGACAATTTTTATTCCCACCAACTAGACTGTTGGATCAGTTTAGATATTTCATTTCCATAGAACGCCTTAATAGAAAGAGCAGGACCAAATGGGGTAAAATTAACTAGTCTTTTTTTTCCCCTGTACTTAGGAAAAGAGACTCAGAAGTCAAATCAAAGAACTGTAAGTATTGTTAACATGCCTTTGTAATTTATATTGTGAAACTTAGTTGTTAAAATAAGTGTTCCAGTAAAAATAATGGATTGGACAGACCACTAGGTGCATTAATTATTCATGTAGTATGTGGGTGATTTCCATTTGTGGAAGGTCATTCAGTGAAGGCTGAGGTCAGCTGAATCAGCTGGTCTTGACCCCAGGCCTTTCCTCAGTGGTGGTCCTGTAGCAAGCTGTTGTCCAGTGGTGATCAAAGGGCACTGAATGTTCATTATCTACAGCTATGGAAACACTGTGTAACAAATAGCCCCAAGGCTCAGTGGCTTAAGACAGTAAGTATTTATTGAGCTTACATGTCTACCGCTCTGTGGCTGTCGGCTGATGTTGTCCAGGCTTGGTGGGTTCTGCCATCCGATTTGGCCAGCTTCTGTGCGATCTCATGGCAGTGGCAGAGCATGAGGGCAAAAGTGAAAAGCAGCACTTTTTCAAGCCTCTTAACATCCAGTTGGCTGAAACATGTTGAGACTGGGCCTAAGTCTTGGAGTGGGCAGAACCCAGAATCAAGTGACAGGGCCCCGACAGAGGGAGAGGTCAAGATCCCATGTGTGCAGACCGCTCATCAGACCAACCCTTGCTTACCTACACAGGGTCAACCTTGGGGGGCCAGACACTTGACCTGCAGGTAGGATTCCCATGAGGTCACAAGAAATCAGAGGAGTCTTGACCGGTTTTGTTTTAAATTGCTGTCATCTCATCACATGTGTATGAAGCATTGATGGCATTTCTGAGATCACAAGTTCTGAGGTGATAAATGCCTTTCAGGTTTCTCACAGCGAAGGCTTGCCCTTCAGATGGGAAAGGTGATTCATGCTCCAACTTGGGGAGGAGACCATGTGTAGGTCTTCATTGGGCTGTTTGCAGTGGCATCTGGCTCCTTGAGCTGATTGGGGTGTGTGTCTTTTGGTTTGTGACAGAACACCTAAACAGAAAGCTAAGGAGGAGCCGGACAGAGAAGCAAGACCAGGATTTCAGGCTGAAGTGGATGAAGATGAGAAAGTAATGACTGAATCTTTGTTACTGAACTTGATTACATTCCCACTTGGTTGGGAGAAGTGGCGTGGGGCAGGGTTCTGGGTTCAAATCTAGTCCCGCCTACCTGTGGGGTGACTCTAGGTAAATTACCTCATCACCCTCATGGGGGCTGTCACTGCATGTCAGTGCCTGGTATGTAGTGAGCGTTTAGTTGTCTAGTTGTCTGTTTACCCATAACGGTGAAGAGGCCCTGTGTGTGCCTTGACTAAGATGTGTTTGGAGCCAGCTTCTCTTAAGATCCTCTCTACTGAGAAGGCCTGACATGTGTCAACCCAGACACGTGTGTCAGCCATGCCTGTGCTGCTTTACCCATCAGCCTCCCTTCTGAGTCTAGCTTCCCCCCACTCCCACCAGCCTCCTCACTCCAATTCATCTAAGTAAACATGTTTCAGGGTTTAAACATTATACGCTGAGACAGGGTTGGGTCTGCGTAAAAGTATTGCTACCTGAACTCGAGGGGCGGGGGATGTATCTGCTGGGGGCTGCAGCACAGGAACCTGGAGCTCTTTACATAGTTTCGTCCTGTCTGACTAAGAGAGGCTGAACTACGACAATCCCAGGATTGTTTCTGTGGTCTTCTCTCTGTTGCGATCTAGAGAGTGGAGCCCGACGTCACAGACTTACTGGGTCGTGAATATCCTCACTTCCAGCCTGGTTGATGAAGGGTGTCTCTTCTCATCCTATGGCACATGCCTCTTTTCGTGTCCCTCCAGCTTGCTCTAAAATTTTATTGTCTCTCACCTTCTCTGTCCAGATATTGGTTACCTTCCTGTCAGCACCTGCCCTTCCGATCTAGAGAGATCTTAATGGTGTCGTCAGACCACCCATTCTCCTCAGACTGGCAGAGGCTTTAGATCACACAGCCAGCACTTTTGCCTTTTAAATATTGACTCTTCTAGTTTAATAGATCCATTCATAGATTTGTTGCTTTATGAAGATGAACTGTATTATCAGAAAGATTTTTTTTTTTTTTTAAGATTTTTTTATTGGGGAACTGGGAACAGTGCTGGGGAATTGGGGGAAGAGGAACAGACAAGTTGCTGTCCTTTTGTTCTTCAGTCTAGTTGTGGAGGACGTTGCTTCACTGGCCCAAGTTGGCACCATCATTGCGCTCTTCCCGGGCGAGGCAGATCAGTCGCCAGCTTCTGGCGGCTTGAGGGCCGCTCACGCTGGCTGCTGGCTACACACAATAGCCCATGGCAACCCACTGCTACAGGGGCTGCAGCCTACACTGTCGCCGGCGACTCACTGCAGCCCAGCTCCAGGTTGAGCTGTTGTTCAGCATCTTAGCTGTGGAGCGCAGTGTCACTGGCCCCCATGGGGGATCCGAATCGGGTCCCTGTGGCATCCCAAGCCAGTTCTTAACCATCGTGCCACTCGGCTGGCCCCAGAAAGATATTTTTTTGTCTTCAGGCTCAGAAGATACTAGATTGTCCATATAAAACAAGAAATTGATAACAGAGTTGGGAATTCTTATTTTTATTTCATAATTTTCCATTGTAGTTTCTAAGTCATGTCGTTGTTCCCCCTCCTCCACTGTCCCAATGCCTGTCTATGAAGTCTTCACCCCTGACCAGATGACAGATGGAGCTGTGAGGCATTTTGGTCAACATAAGCAAAATTGCTATAATATTCCTTTCTACACTGAGCTGTCCTGGGACGGGGGTTGGCAGAGTATGACCCACAGGCCAAATCTAGCCCTCTGCCTATCATAAAGTTTTACTGGAACACAGCCATGCTTTTTCATTTACATATTGCCTTTGGTTGCTTTTCTGCTACCGTGGCAGAGTTGAGTAGTTGTGACACAAACCATGTGGCTTGCAAATCTGAAAATGTTTGTTTTTTGGCCCTTTACAGAAATTTTGCCAACTCCTGGTCAACTCTTGTTTGTAGGGGATATGGAGCTGAGTTAAAAATTTGAAGCCTCAGCTCTCCCCTGTAGATCTGCCCAGATTTCCTGTTCTCTAGTTCCACAGTGCTGCGATCACTAACTGATGCTTTGGGTTTGGTCTAGCTCTTTTTCAGAGGCTAATTTTTTTGCCCTTTATATCTCCACCCCTGCTTCTCCCTCTCAGGATGAAAAGAGGCACAGAAGCCAACCCAAAGATCTGTAAGTAGTTAAAATGCTTGCACTTTTGTGCTGTGCTTTGTGTAATTTTAATTACTGAAATAAGTGTCCTAGAGACCTGTGACAATGTAGAGGTTTACAGGGAGTTGGGGCAGGGTTGGATAAGAAGCCAAACTCTGGGCCCTGTACCTCCTTACCCTCTGCCACTTAGCAGCACTCCCATTACTACAGAGCCATGTGTGTCCCTTAACATCCAGCACTTCTTATCAGGTTCCCCCCCGCCCTGCCCACGTCTGAGGGGTCACATGGGGCTTCTGAAAGCCTTGTTTCGGGATTTCGAGTTAGCAACATGCCTTTAGAGCCAGCTTGACAAGGGGACTCTTTTTTGGATGAAAGAAAGAATCTGTTCCCCAGATGTATTCTGAGTATTTTGCTTTTTGATAGGCATTAGCCTGTTGTTTTTGATGCAAGTTGGTGATATGGTTAGTTTTTCTGAGCTAACATTTGACGTATATTTGTTTACCTAACAGAGCTGCCAAACGGAGACCTGAAGAAAAAGAACCTGAAAGAGTAAAACCACAAGTTTCTGATGAAAAAGATGAGGATGAAAAGGTGAAGCCTTGTTTTTTCAATTTTACCGTATTTCATACATCCTAATGGCTGGAATGTTAAAGTAACTTTTTAAAAATTAACTTCTTGTTTTGGAAATATTCAAACATACTCGGAAGTAGGCAGAAGAGGGTAGCAAACTCTCACACATTATTATCAACCTTCAACAATGGTCAAAGTGTGACCAAACGTATTTTAGCCAAGCCCACTCATTCTCCTTACTCCCCCTTCACTCCTAATAATGAACAAATCCTAGGTCTATTACTAAAATATTTACAGAAGAACTACTTACATGTAAAAGGAAAGGACTCTTTTTAAACATCACAGCAATCCCATATTCATAACACGCTAATATTGAGATCTAGTCTGTTCAGACTTCCCTGATTGTCTCCATTGTGTTCTTACAGTTTGTATATTTGTTTGTTTGTTTGAAGCAGGGCCCTGACAAAATCTATATAGTATATTTGCTTGATATTTGTCCTAAATGTCTCACTACAGCTTCACCCCTCTCCTCTTATTTGCAATATGTGGAAGGAACCAGTTTATCTGTAGTTTCCGGAATCTTGGTTTTGCCATTTGCACGTCTCTTGTGTTTAAATCCCCTCCAGCCTTGTCTTCTGCAGACTGTTAGGTCCAGAGGCTTGACCAGATGCAGGCCTTCTGTTGTTTTCCAGAGGACTTGGGAGGTGGTGCCATGTGCTTCCTGTTGCATCACACCAGAAAGCACAGTTGTCTTTTTGTGGTGTTAAGATTGATCACTGGGCTCAGGTGCTGTCTGCCCGATCCACCCATTATAAAGTTCCCCTCAATTTTTCACCTATGTTTTTAACAGTCATTGCTTAACTCCATTGTTTTACTAGGAGTTGCAAAGTGGTGATTGTCTAGTTCTATCATCCCTTCATTTATCTAAAATAGTTTTAGAAATAAGTTCCCTCTTATATTAGTCAGCTCAGGTTGCCGTAACAAAATACCACAGCCTGGTTGGTTTAAACAACAGACATTTTTTTCACAGTTCTGGAGACTAGAAAACCCAGATTCAGGTGCCAGCAGGGTTAGTTTCTGGTGAAGCCATTCTTCCTGGCTTGCTGATGACCACCTTCTCTCTGGGTCCTCATGGGCCCTTCCCTTGTGAGCTCTGGTGTCTCTTCTTATAAGGACACTAATCCTATTGGGTTAGGGCCCCACCCTTATGACCTCATTTAACCTTAGTCACCGCCTTAAAAGTTCCATCTCCAAATACAGTAACATTTGGGGTTAGAGCTTCAACATATGAATGGCAGGGGTGGGTGGGGTGGGGGTGGGGTTGCACAATTCAGCCCATAGCACCCTTCATCAGTTATGTACTTGAGGTACCACTTGGAAAGGTAAGGACTTTTTTGTTTCTCTTTATGAGTCTTGTAAGGAAGTTTTTGGTTATAAGAATTTTGATTATAAGACTTTACAAGCTGTAGGTGGCTCGGGTCTGACTGGTCCTTTGACTTCCTTCTTCCCTACCCCTGACTAGGTTTTGTGATAAGCACATATATTAAATTATTAATTTTTTTTTAATTGGGGAATTGGGGGAGGGGAACAGCGTTGGGGAATCGGGGAAGGGAAACATACAAGTTGCTGTCGTTTTGTTCTTCAGTCTCGTTGTGGAGGACGTTGCTTCACTGGCCTATGTTGGTATTATCATTGTACTCTTCCCGGGTGAGGCAGATTGGTGGCTGGCCTTTGGATGGCTGCTCACGGTGGCTGCCAGCTGCTCATGCTGGTTGCCAGCCACACATGGTAGCTTATGGCAGCCCAAGGGGCTGCAGCCTACGCTGTCGCCGTCGACTCATGGCAGCCCAGCTCCAGGTTGAGCTGTTGTTCACCATCTTAGCTGTAGAGGGCAGTGTCACTTGCCCTCATGTGGGATCCAAACCAGGGCCCTGCTGCTCAGAGCTGGCGTCCCAAGCCAGCTCTTAACCAACGCGCCACTTGGCCGGCCCATATGTTAAGTTCTTAACTCTGAAGCATTGTCCAGATGTGAAATGCTTTTGTACCGTTCACTCCTTTTGTTTTCTCCATTTAGGAGGAGAAGAGGCGCAAAACTACATCCAAAGAACCGTAAGAACTTATTTTTGTATTTCTACATAGCAGATAATAACATAATTGTTCTTGAAAGAAAAAAGGGTTTTTAGTGAATTGCCAGGCTAGCCTTAGCTTTGAATCTGATCGGGTCCTAAGGCGCTCCAGTTCTGCCATGTGGTGAAAAGACACCCGTGACCTAGCTAGCACCTTGTCTCTGGTGTTCATCTGTGTTGAGTGGTTTGGGTACAACTTTGACAATGGATTCTGATATGTTCTGAAATGACTAAGAAACCTATCTTGTGCTTTGTTCTCAGAACGGAGAAGAAAATGGCTCGAACCAAAACAGTAATGTCCTCCAAGGTAAATGTGTATATGGGGGTAGAGTCGGTGGCATGACACTAATGGGATTGCTTGGAGCTGGCTCTCTGAGCACCATTTGTGTCATGTCCCCACAGACCCATCCTCCGAGGTGCATTCAGTGTGGACAGTACCTGGATGACCCCGAACTAAAATATGAACATCATCCTCCTGATGCAGTAAGTTCCAACTCTGTCTTCATCTTTTTATTTCCTGTCTCTTGTGCCTCTGCTTAACAGTCCGATGTCTCTCAGGTAGATGAGCCACAGTTGTTGACAAACGAGAGACTGTCCATCTTTGATGCCAATGAATCTGGCTTTGAGAGTTACGAGGCTCTTCCCCAACACAAACTGACATGCTTCAGGTACTGATGCTTCTTCATTGTGACAGGGCACTTCCCAAAAGATGCCTAAGTTCTTAATATCTTTAGCTCCTAACCTGCAGCATTTCTTGTGCTGCTAATACTTGATGGATAAAAGCCACAAAGCTGGTGGAAGTATAGTAGGTCTTTGCTGGTTTTTGTTTGTTTGTTTTGTTGTTGTCAAAACTATACATGTTAAATCTTCTGTCTGTATACACATCTAAGAGGTCATTCATTCAAATGAGGGCCGGCTTTGTGCTAGGTCCTGCACTAGGTGTTACGGATCTAGTAGCACCTCAGATCCCTGCTTTGACAGAGGCAGAACAAAAGTTATGCTTGTCAGCTAGTAACCTACAACAAATGTTAAAAGCATGGAAAGCGGAGAGAGTGGGTAGGAGAAAGATGTTGTGTTTTTAGAAGGGCGGGGAAGTGACTTAAGCAAAGTCCTCAGTGGCATAAGAGAACAAGCTGAGGGCATAGCTAGGGAAAGACATCCCAGGAGGAGGGAATAGCAGGTACAAAGGCTCAGAGGTGGGCCCATGTTGGCTGTGGAAGACTCGGTGATGGGGCTGGGGCAGCTGGTAGGGCTAGGGAAGAGGGAGCACGAGATAGTCGGAGCAGGGACCGGGGAAGGGGCTAGATCCTACAGGGCTTTGCAGGCTGTGGCAGTGACCCCAGAATTTTCTGAGTGAAAGTCCATGCGTCTGAACTGTACCTTTGGCAAGGCTCAGCAAACTCTTAAGTGAGCAGAGTCCCTATGCTCTTCAGCACCTGCTTAGTCCGCTCCCTCACGCTGGAGATGTAGTTACTCTCAGAGGCTTCATTTGGTTTCTTTGTGGTAAATGGCTTGACTCTGGGACCAGCCCATGTCTCCTTTCAGGCCTAGGCACATTGCTGTTTCTTTCCCCGGAGAAGGAAGTCATGGGGGCAGGTGGATCACCTCAGTAACACCTAGTGTAAGCCTCAGATGGACATCACTTCTGCGCAGCCCTTTCTGTCACATGTGTCCCACAGCAGGTTGGGGGTTCTTTTGCCCTGGGACAAGACCCCAGTGTGTTTCTTCTGATAGCACTCTTCACACTCCCTGTGTTTGGGCTGGTTGTGTTTCCCTTTCTAGCATAATCAGGATTCTGATCTGTTCATCTACCAGTGGCCCCCAGGGCCTGGCCCTAACCTAGGCCTGATGACACAAGTGAAACATGCTGTGTTGAAGTAGCTGGGGTTCACGCCCTCATGCTTTCCTCAGGACAGAGGTTGGGAGAGGTCCAGGAGCTGGAGCCAGGGCTGCTGTGGAGGGCCGGAGTCCCTCGGCTTCCTTTCCCCGATGGGGTCTGCTGTAGACTCATCCCTATATGGTGGGAAGGTAGTAGTAAGGACACACTTCCCAGGAATAATGTGCCTCTTAGCATCAGGTCATGGGAGCAGATTGCCTGGGCTATTTAAGGACTCTATTTACCTCTAGTACTTGGGCTGAAAGTGGTGGGTGGAAACAAATCTTGGGTGCAGCCCATCCTGTGAACCAGTGGGTCCTGTCCCTGCCTGGGACTTAGAACTTCTCCTTGATGTCACCTCCACTGAGAGAGCCCAGGGACAGCCTAATAGCTTGAGCCCTGGATCCTTGTCTTCTGTGGGTTTTCAGTGTCCTGCTGTCCCGTGATATGTGTCCATCTTTCCCACTGGACTTCAAGTCCCGAGGGCAGTGCTGTGACCTGTGTCCTGTTTACCATGCCTGGCATGTAGTAGGGGAGCTCAACTCTAGGTGTTCATTTTCATTTTTTGAAAAGTTTTGTGAGATAAGATGAGGATTTCTGGCTTCCAGGGCCCTAGGCTGTGGAAGTGTGGCGGGAGATGGTCTCAGGAGACCTGCACAGATCCTGTGGCCCACTTGGGGGCTCTGAGACATGGCATGGTGTCTCTAGTGCAGGAGGGTAGTCCTTGAGGCCAGCGTAAGCAGGTCCATAAGCAGAACCCCCTGATTGATGTTATTAAGTTTGGCATCCTGCTTAATGAGGAACAACCTCCCAGTGTCAAGGAGCGTTTGGGTGGTGGGACCGTGGATGTTCTTAAACCTGAGCTTTATCCCTTAGAGGGAAGCAGAAGTCTTTCCTTCCCATATCCCTGATGTACCTTGCATTTTATGCTATTACATACAGTATGCTTTATTTTATTAATTTAATTGAGGTGAAACTTACATAACACAAAACTTAACCATATAAGAAACATTATGAAGAGGTAAATCCATAAAAACAGAAAGCAGATCTGTGGTTACCGGGGATGGGGAGAGAATAGGGAGAGACTGCTTAATGGGTACGAGGTTTTATTTTGGGCGATGAAAATGTTTTGGAGCCTGATAGAGATGATGGTTGCACAATTGTGAGTAGAATGTGTTTAAGAACCGGTATTTCTCCATTAGCAACATGCCGAGGGAGGATGTAGCAAGTTAGTGTCTCATGAAATTCCCCCTATCCCACTGTAAATCTCACTGATCTCCTGGTGTTGCCTTTCAGACACTTGTACTCTTGACGTACAGGTGGGAGGATCAGGTAGAAGCTGTTTGGGTGGGAAAACACTGTACTGATCTAGTATTCTAACAACCAGAGAGGTAACAGAGCCTAGGAATTGCACGTGGTCCCATCACCTCGGGTCTGAACTTGACTCTGTACTGCAACTTGCCTTCACTGATCAGCTGGTGAACACACTCTTTGTTGCCTGTCTAGCGTGTACTGTAAACGTGGTCACCTGTGCCCAATCGACACTGGCCTCATTGAGAAGAATGTTGAACTCTTCTTTTCTGGTTCAGCAAAACCAATATATGATGATGACCCATCTCTTGAAGGTAAGTGGAATGTTCCAGGTTATATTTGGGACAGATATTTTATTTTATTTTTTTAAGATTTTATTGGGGAATTAGGGGAGGGGAACAGCTCTGGGGAATCGGGGAAGGGGAACAGACAAGATGCTGTCCTTCTGTTCTTCAGTCTCCTTCTGTTCTTCAGTCTAGTTGTGGAGGATGTTGCTTCACTGGCACATGTTGGTATTATCATTGTGCTCTTCCCGGGTGAGGCATATTGGTCACCGGCCACTGGACAGCTCACACTGGCTGCCGGCCACTCATGGTAGCCCACGGTAGCTTATGGCAGCCCCACTGCAGCCTATGTTGTCACCGGCGACTCACAGCAGCCCAGCTCCAGGTCGAGCTGTTGTTCACCATCTTAGCTGTAGAGGGCAGTGTCACTGTCCCTCATGTGGGATCCGAACCAGGGTCCTGCTGCTCAGAGCCGGCATCCCAGGCCAACTCTTAACCAACGCGCCACTCGGCCGGCCTGGGACAGGTATTTTAAAAGCCAACAACTTGCCTGCAAAGCACTATTCAGCAGGAACTACTGCCTCTTAAAGTTAGGGTGTGAGACTGTGCTGTGAACAGCTATGAGCGAGCACAGTCTGAGGTCTGTTGAGGACTGCCTGGCTCGGCTCATAAGAGATGTCAGTTCAGGTGGGCGCTTCGTCTTTGATGTGAGTCATAGCTCTGAGTCCATTTCCTTTCAGGAAACAGTTTTTCTTCCTTTCCCTCTTTTAGGTGGTGTTAATGGCAAAAACCTTGGCCCCATAAATGAATGGTGGATCACTGGCTTTGATGGAGGTGAAAAGGCTCTCATTGGCTTCAGCACCTGTAAGTATGTGGCCAACCTGTGGACTGTTCTGGGATGTGAAAGGAGCTTTTGCTCCTGTCTTCCCTGGGGCTCCCTTGGGCTCTGGGAAGTCTCAGGCTCATGTGAACACCACTGACAGTGTGGGAACCATGTGAGGTTCAATTGGGATAGCCTCTCATATTAGCTACAACTGGCCCTAGAACTGACCCTCCAGTTTTACCAGTAGCTCATATTCTTGCAACTTAAACCCAGACCAAATTCCAGAACCAGAGATGAGCTCAATGAAAGTCCCTCAGCCAATATCCATTCTCTAGTTGTCTCAGACAGGCCACTTCTGAATTTGGTAACTGATCATACTTTACGGTTTTGACATTTGGGTATGGGATGACTTTTAGACTCTCCGTAAGCTTCACAGACTCATCTCTGCCCTTTGGCCACCATAGCTGCCATCACATTCCAGCTGCTTTTTAAAAACCTCTTCTGTTTACTCCAGCCTTTGCCGAATACATCCTGATGGATCCCAACCCAGAGTACGCACCGATGTTCAGTGTGATGCAGGAGAAGATCTACATAAGTAAGATAGTCGTCGAGTTCCTGCAGAACAACCCTGACTCGACCTATGAAGACCTGATCAATAAGATCGAGGTAAAAGGGTTAAGTTCTTTAATCTGTGATCCACACCTATTTATATGCAGTAGAGTTATTGCTGGAAAACTCATGTTCTTCAGTTCGATTAGAACAGCTTTGCTTAGGCCTAAGAAACTTCTGACTTTTTTCTTAAAGACCACTGTTCCCCCTTCGGTGCTCAACCTGAATCGATTCACCGAGGATTCACTCCTTCGACATGCCCAGTTCGTGGTGGAACAAGTAGAGAGTTATGATGAGGCTGGGGACAGTGATGAGCAGCCCATCTTCCTGACCCCCTGCATGAGAGACCTGATCAAGTTGGCGGGGGTCACCCTGGGGAAAAGGTAAGGACGCAGCGTGAGTAAAACTGAAGACCTGAGAACAGAGAAGGCAATGTCCCGAGCACTCTTCCCCAGCCTGCTCACACGGTGGGGACCTCTCTCTCAGGCGAGCTGAAAGACGTCAGACGATCAGGCATTCCACCAAGGAGAAGGACAGAGGCCCCACGAAAGCCACCACCACCAAGCTGGTCTACCAGATCTTCGACACTTTCTTCGCAGAACAAATCGAAAAGGATGACAGAGAAGACAAGGAGAATGCCTTCAAACGCCGACGGTGTGGCGTTTGCGAGGTAATGTCACCTGGGCTGGGCCCCCCACATAATCTGAGCAACTCACTTCTTTCTCTTTCTGGCTTGAGATACTTGCTGTTCAGATGTGGACCCTAAAACGAAAGCTGGGAGAAAATTAGTGATGTGGGGCGAAGTGCATGCCCCATGGGACAAACAGATTGATAGGACAGCTGTTGAAAAAGGCATCCTTGGGCACTTTGCTGTTAATGCCACTGTCACGAAGGAGCCTGGCCTCCTGGGTGGCATTTGCTCTGACTGCATTTCCTTATATCTGAAGGCCCTAGTGTGAGGGCCAAGGGGAGGACACCCTCCCAGGGGCTCGCCTTCTCTTATGCTATAACTTTCCTGGGAGAGCGGATACTCTGTCCAACTTAGATCTGAGGCCTTAAAAGACCTTCTTCTGTGAATTTTTAATACATTTTTACTTCATTCTAGAGGTATTAATTCCTCTAATCCTGTGACCCAGAGATCGGATATATTTTGGTGTCTATTATTTGGCTTATTTTGAATGAAAACTTAGGTGCAAAAACACAGCAGCTGCTTTCAGAGCTGCCCTGCCCACTGTCCACTGGATCAGAGCTTTTCCTTTTGTCTTCAGTGTTAGCCCTTCACAGGAATTTGTATGTCCTCGCCATTCCTGTTTTGGTTTTACTTTTCTTTATCTAGCACATGTGTATTCAAGCTTTTAAAAAAAAAAGTTCTTAAATGTACATAACTGGTATCTTTCGTAATCGTGTTATGTGTTGACATAGGTAGATCTAGTTAATTCCTTTTGACTGTTCCATAGTACTTCATTATACGATAGACCCAGCCTAACTCTTGATGATGGGCGACGTCTGATATAAAGCATGCTGCGGCCGCATCCTTCAACAAGTCTTCTGTGACTGCCTCTACTTAGAAGCAGAATTGCCAGGGTGTGGGTTATATACTTTAATCTAGAAAACTGCTCTCCAAAGTGGTGTCACCAACTTAAACCCTTTGGGCAGTGCGAGTTTCCCTACACCTGTCCCAACACCACATTTCCAACTTTTTAACCCTTGCTCATCTGGAAGGTATGAGTGATATCTATATGTTCCTGATTCTCATTTCCTGTACTTCTAATGAGGTTAAATTATACAATTTCTAAAAACTAATTTGCCAAAAAACTGGTTACCAACTGTTACTAGTGGCCATTTGATTTTCCTTTTTTAATGTCTTCCAGGTTTGCCAGCAGCCCGAGTGTGGAAAGTGTAAAGCCTGTAAAGATATGGTTAAATTTGGTGGTAGTGGACGGAGCAAACAGGCTTGCCAAGAGAGGAGGTAGGCGCAGCTGACACTTCTTCTGGTAGCAGGGGACAATACCAGCTGATGGCTGGTGCACTTTGTGTGGGACAGCTGGGTTGAAATGTGCAGAGCAGGCAGGATTGCTTTGTCTTTGTCTGTCGTGGTCACCAGGCCTGTCCCTGTTATCTGACTAAAACAACCCCATTCAGTTTTACTTACAAAAGGGGACTTGCTTATATAAGTGACTTTGTAGGTGTCCCAATATGGCCATGAAGGAGGCAGATGATGACGAAGAAGTGGATGACAATATTCCAGAGGTGCCATCACCCAAAAAAATGCATCAGGGGAAGAAAAAGAAACAGAACAAGAACCGGATCTCTTGGATTGGAGATGCCGTTAAGGTAACCTGGAGCAGGCTCTCTGTCTGCGTACTGCTGCCCTCCAGAGAAGCGAGTTGTCTCCCTCTCTCTCCCTTCACTCGGCCTGTTATGCAGCCTGAATCCTGCTCGCTTGTCTCTTAAGAGGAGCAGGGTTGGCTACAAGGCCGAGCCTCGTGGCCATGCACCAGAAATGTGTTTTTGCTTGTATGCTGAAAGACTCGGTTTCTCTAAGGTCCAAGATGGGTATTTGACACAGTTCTAAGGGTGTCAGGCTGCTTCCCCTTCAAAGCTTGTTTGAAGAGAGTTGTCAACACCCCCTCTGTCCTGGGAGTGGGTGTCTTTGAGGCACTAGCATATTGCCTCTCAGTCATTCTGTCTAAGAATGACCTCCCCATCTAAGGCTCAGTTCCTTTACTAAAGCTGGAGAGTGAATGTCCTCAGCGCTGTTTCCTTGACGTCCAGAGCCAAAGATACAGTCGGTTCATTGAGCAAGCATGAGGCCTCCCCTGCCGCTTGCTGCTCCAGGCCTGGACATGACTCAGCCCCTGCCCTGTGGTGCTGATGCTCCGGGGCAGGAGGACAGACACATGTACTTCTGAGCGGGTGGAGAGCTGGAAGGGGGCTGGGACTGCGGAGGCTTGCCCGAGGAGGCGACGTCTGAGCTGAGACCCAGAAGGTGGGAGAGGAGCTACCCCATGAAGATCTGGTGAAGAACGGGGAAGAAGCCCTGGGGTGGGAACCAGCTTTCCTTGTGGGAGAAAAGGCCTGTGTGGCTGAGGGAGGAGCCGGGGGTGGGATGCAGCTCTAGGACCTGTGAAGAGCTGGGACCCGTGCTATTAACATCGAATGCTGGGATCTGATTTGCTGCGGACACGCAGAGGCACAGCAGACAATAGAGGAACCTGAGTGCCCTTGCTGCAGGCTTCCAGCTGAAGGAAGCGGATGTTCTTTGTAGTCGCCAGGCTGGTAGAGCTCGTGACTTCTTAACAAAATTGTTAGGGCTTATACCTTTACATAAAGTAACAAGAACACCATGCAGTCAAGCCTAGCATGGACTTCAGACTCATCCCCACCTGAAATATACTGTCTTTGTTTTCAGACTGATGGCAAGAAGACTTACTATAAGAAGGTATGCATTGACTCAGAAACCCTGGAAGTGGGGGACTGTGTCTCTGTTATTCCAGATGACTCCTCAAAACCACTGTACTTAGCAAGGTTTGTATCTTTCCCTTTGCTTGACTTCAGCACACACTTTCTCTTGAACAGCAGCAGCAGCTCTTTGTCCTAGACTGAAACCAATACACACACACACACGCACGCACGCACGCACGCACGCACGCACGCACGCACGCATGCACATATTCCCTAAGTAGACTTGGAGCAGATCTGCTGGTCAAGTTGGAACTTTCTTCCTCCTGGTCTTCTGACTGCAGGGTCACGGCATTGTGGGAGGACAACAGCCAAGGGCAAATGTTTCATGCCCACTGGTTCTGCGCCGGCACAGACACAGTCCTTGGGGCCACATCGGACCCCCTGGAGCTGTTCCTGGTAGACGAGTGTGAGGACATGCAGCTGTCATACATTCATAGCAAGGTGACGGTCGTCTATAAAGCTCCGTCGGAAAACTGGGCCTTGGAGGTGAGTTCCCGGTGCCTGTTGTGTGCCGCTGTCTCACTGGGTGGGCTCATGCCTGACACAGCATCTTTGTCCCCAAAGGGAGGCATGGATCCTGAGGCCCTGACGGCAGAGGACGATGGAAAGACCTATTTCTACCAGCTGTGGTACGATCAAGACTATGCAAGATTTGAGTCCCCTCCAAAAACTCAACCAACAGAGGACAACAAGTACAAGTGAGTGTAGGGGCTGGGCCCTGGTGCACTCCTCTTCTCGGAGAGGACACCATGCTTTTGTGTGTCACTCTAGCTTTTCATGAGCTTCTGTCTGCTGGGTTTGTTTCCCTAGCACCATCTGATTGTTTCTTTGCTAATTGAAGACCTGCCTGGCTTTGTTGCAACGGCTTTAGGTGTATGGATAGCCTGGGCGCCGAGTTACCTTTACGAGAAGCTCTCATGTCCAGGAGCAGGGTTTATCATTTCATTTCCAGCCTTTTTGAATGTTCCTCAGCGTCTTGACCACAGATTTCACGTGTTTTCTTTCGTTTCTTAAGTATCTTCTCTCATATATGAGATCTTTGGTTCCATTTTATTCTAACTGGTAGGTGACTACCCTTAGGGAGTCTTGTTTTTCTTTTTTTAATGTTTAGTGCCCACACCTTCCTTTCTAACCTCTGTACCTCACTTGTTTTGACTAAAAGTGGCGCCAGTGCCTCTAAAGCAGCGGTGGGGTGAAGTCTAGGAAAGCTCACTTAGAAGCTTCTGATGTTTTTCCAGTCGGCCTTGTGTTGCCTTCTGACTTGATTACCATGTTTAAAGCAGTCTCCAGCTCTCCTTTAAGGAATAATGCTGAACTTCACCAAATACCTCTTTAGCCTTTATAGAGTTAATAGTATGAGCCTCCTCTGATATTTTGAGTTCCTAACTGAACCACTCTGTATTCTTGCTCCTGGCATATTCCTCACCATAGTCAAGATTCTATTTGTTCATGTCTTAGATTTTTGTAGCGAATACTCAAAAGTGGGATTAACTTGGCATTCTCTTGTGTTGTATATACGTATCTCTGGGCTTTGGTCCCAAATAAGAGTTTTCAAAGTGTGAACATACAATACAGGAAAGCCATTTCCTTTAATCGTCTGCAGATGTTTTTTCTTGTTATCCAGAGTCTCTGGGTTAAGCCAGCCGCTAATGCTGCAGTCATTACCTGCCACCTCAGAGCCTCTGGTTGTTTGTCCTTTATTCCTTCAGGTTCTGCGCATGCTGTGCCCGTCTGGCTGAAATAAGGCAAAAGGAATTTCCCAGGGTCATGGAGCAGCTCGAGGACCTGGACGGCCGGGTTCTCTACAGCTCAGCCACCAAGGATGGCATCCAGTATCGAGTGGGTGACGGCGTGTACCTCCTTCCTGAGGCCTTCACATTCAAGTGAGTGCCCCATTGGCCCAGTACAGGGTTGGCTTTGGAATGTCCCCGACACTGCACTCCAGTACCAGCTGCTGCCTGATCCATCACATTGGCTGGCATCTGTGGTGATCAGACAATATCCAGCTGTCTAGTGCAGAGCGACTACAGTTCCGTTGCAGAGTGAAACTGTGAGTCTGAAAGAAATCAGAGCACCAGAGTCAGTGGTAAGCCTACCCAGCTCTGCCTCTGACCAGCTTGTGAGGCTTGGGCTAGAGACCTCCTCCTCTCAGTCCCCATCGGTCTGATGGGGAGAGGAGGATCTCACCTGCCAGGCCTGTAGGATTGAGTGAGTTAAAAGAGAAGTGCTTAGCACAGTGCCTGGCTTAGAGTAAAGACTGAATGTGACCTACTTCCTGATAACAGGAAATGCATCAAAAGACTTCTTTGCATATCAGAGGGCTGAGGCGCTTCAGAAAAAAATCAAAGCTGCAGATATTTCCCACACTTGATCAATTTTTTGTTCAGTCTAAGAACTAGTACATTCTAAGAACTAGACAACCAACATTTATTTTCCCAATTTAGTTTGGTTTCCCGGCTTACAATTCCATTTTCTGGAGTCCCAGTTGGAACCCAGTCCCCAACCTCAGTTCAGCTATGATGAATTGCAAAACATGGAGAGTAGGGTCCTTTCAGCCTGGCAGTTTGTACGCCACCCCATCCGACACTGATTGTCCTTGGCGTGAAGTCGGGGGGCTGCCTGTAGTGCTGTTTACCAGGTGCTCAGAGTCGCCTTTGAGCCCGTCAGACCCTTAGGAGGCCTGGTGGGTAGGAAGTGTGGCTGCCTCCCTCCTAATGGCAGTCTTCAGAGTGCAGCCCAGCCATCTTGGCAGCTAAATCAAATGACTGGCTTTTTCACAGTTGGGCCAAATTCGGCTTGCCCAGACTACCAGCCTCTTTTCCATGCCTTCTCCAGCATCACCTCTAGGTCAGGAGACTGTGGGTTATACCATGGTAATAACCCCAAACCGCAGAAGTTTGCTTCTTCCCCATACTGTGTCCGTCATGGTTCAGTAGGGAACTTGGCCTGTTATGTCACTCAGGGACCTGGGCTGACAGTTCTCAAAAGTTGCCAGTCTCTGAGGCAAGGGAAAGCACACTAGAGGCTCTCCTGGCAGTTACATGCTCCCCCCCACCCCTAGAAATGCTTGTGTGTCACTTCTCACATTCAATGAGCAGAACGGGTCATACTAGGAAGCGCACTCCTGCCATGTAGCTGGGAGCACCTACCATGGCCAGCACTGCACAGATGGGAGAAGGCTCGCTTTGAACTGTGGGCGAGATTTAATCTTTCTCTAAATCTTTTCTAAGGGTACTTAGCTGCACTAATTTATGAGGTGTTTGAATTTAAATGGCATTGTCGCTGGTCAGTCCTGCTGAACTACCTACCTTTTTAAAGGTTTAATGTTGAGTTACACGTAACGTTTGCTTCTGTGCAGCATCAAGCTGTCCAGTCCTGTGAAACGCCCACGGAAGGATCCTGTGGATGAAGATCTATACCCGGAACACTACCGGAAATACTCTGACTACATCAAAGGCAGCAACCTGGATGCCCCTGAGCCATACCGAATTGGCCGCATCAAAGAGATCTTCTGTGTCAAGAAGTGCAATGGCAGGCCCAATGAGACAGACATCAAGATCAGAGTGAACAAGTTCTACAGGTCAGTGATGGCCTCTGCTCTTCCAGGAGACTGCGGACTCTTCCAGAAGGCTCTGCCTGAAACGGGGTTGTAACCCCGTTTACACACTTAAGAGTTACTAGGTAGAGTTAGCTGTTTTTCGAAGTGTTTCTGATTATCTGGTGAGTGCTGATAATAACTCGAATTATATTTCATAGCCTTGCCTTTAGACCTTTATTTTAAAGCGACTGAGTTCTCTCTCCAACAGAAATCCTTAAGCTGAAGTCCAGAGTGTGACAAAGGCAGGGGTGGAATATTCTGGGCTCTGCCTGAGGCACCCACAGAGAACCTCGAGTTCTATTTATGACTGCCTGTGTTCGCCCCCTCCCCCTTGGCCCACCCTACTCTCATCTTCCTGTTTTTACCAGCCCTGCCTTTCTGTCCTGGGGTTTCTCTCTGTCTACACTTCTCCCATGGTCTTGGCTGCACCTACTCTATTTCTGGGACCTAGTAACTAGTAGTGGTTAGGCGCTAACTTGAAACTAAGCCATATGATAGTTATAACATTGCTTCACTTTTTGGCCAATGTGTATGAGAGACTTTCTTGAAGTTCTTGTAATTTTCAGTTGTAACAGTGGAAAAGAAGGCTGGCTGGCATATGTGAGAGAAAGAAGCTCTAGACATGCTTCCTCCCAGGAGGCAGGCAGCCGCTGTCTTGACACAGGGCTGGTCTGTTTGGGCTGCAGTGGGGGCACGAAGAGCAAGCAAACCATTTAACAAACTGAACTACTTTAATTTTAATGTTCATTATGCGTAACATTTGCTTCTCTGCGGCATCAAGCTGTCCGGTCAGTGAGATGCCCATGGAAGGAGCGTTTGTTGCAAAGAATCCTACTCAGTTTGTAGTGTTTAGTGCCAGCTAAGGGGGATAGTAACCAAGCTAAGCTAATTGAGGGGAGTCATGGTCTTTACCTACGGATTCTCTGAGCACCTCTAGGAATGTGGTGCCTTTTAATCCCTGTCTGCTCACGGCAAGAGAGAAGTGCTAACAAAGACCCCTCTGCTCACAGGCCAGAGAATACGCACAAGTCCACCCCGGCAAGTTACCACGCAGACATCAACTTGCTGTACTGGAGCGACGAGGAGGCCTTGGTGGACTTCAAGGCCGTGCAGGGCCGCTGCACCGTGGAGTATGGGGAGGACCTGCCCGGGTGCCTGCAGGACTTCTCAGCCGGAGGCCCAGACCGCTTCTACTTCCTTGAGGTGGTGCTCTGGGCTCACTGGAGGGTGGGGCGCCAGTCAAACTCGCAGCCCTTGGGAAAGCAGTGTAGTTATCCAGAGTACAGATCTATGACATTCAAGTCTGGAACGTAATACTTTTGGCTGTTTAAAAAGCACAGCGATAAGAAATGTAATAGTTGAGTGTCCTAAGGGAACTAAAATTTATTTAAAAACTAGCCCGACCAGTGCCTTAGGGTGAGTTAGGGAGAGGGGCTCCTTCCCCAGGGAGACATAGCCCTGCCCCTCAGTCCCGCCAGCCAGTCTGCATCCAGGCCAGGCCACACACCATGCAGGCAGCCCTACTTATCAAGAGAACATCTAAGACTGTTGACTAAGTTAATGATTGCTTTTAAATTGTCTGATTGTGGCCTTTCTTTGCTGGTTCATCTTAAAATGACACGTGCCTGTGTTTTCCCTGGTTCCAGAGTGGATAGCCTCATCGGACAGTGGTCTGTTGGTGTAAGATGTTTGCCTATTTTTAGAATGAGTAGTCTAGGCACTTACAGTAGCAAGGATCTTAATGCCAGTCACATAAAACATTTGTATTAATAGAATTTTTTTTTCCACTGCAAGTATAGTAACATCCAAGTACTCTTGGTGGCTAATTGCTTACGGCCATATTCAAGGAGAAATGAAGTGGATCTTTATCAAATTAACTTGTTAGAGAGGGGACCAGTGCATTTCTCTGCCAGACTGTTGTGGTTTCTTCCCTTCTCAGGCCTATAATGCCAAGAGCAAAAGCTTTGAAGATCCTCCCAACCATGCCCGTAGCCCTGGAAATAAAGGGAAAGGGAAGGGAAAAGGTATGTCGTTATTCCATGGGGTTCTTTTCAAATCCATCTTCTATAACTCGGGATACTTAAGATCGGTATGAAAGAACAGCCTCTAATGTTACTTCATTCTCCGTGTTAACAATTTAAAAGGAGGCTGTCTCTAAATCAGTAAGGTATTTGAAGAAAGTAAGTCATGGCTCTGATTTGATTTGTGGCCTGTCTCCTCCAGGAAAAGGCAGGGCAAAGTCTCAGACACGTGAGCCAAGCGAACCCGAGGCAGAAATTCCGCTGCCGAAACTGCGGACCCTGGATGTGTTTTCTGGCTGCGGGGGGTTGTCGGAAGGATTCCACCAAGCAGGTAAAGCCCAGGAGGTTTTATCTCTGCACAACTAGTAAAACCAGACCAGGCCCATTCTGCCTGGAAGAGCTTTCTGGCTCTGGTCACTTTTCTGACTCAAGAGTCTCATTCCAGGGGCTTCAAAGCCCGTCTTTGTCCCTGTATCTGCCAGGCATCTCAGAAACTCTGTGGGCCATTGAGATGTGGGACCCTGCAGCCCAGGCGTTTCGGCTGAACAATCCTGGGTCCACGGTGTTCACGGAGGACTGCAACGTCCTGCTGAAGCTGGTCATGGCCGGGGAGGTAACCAACTCCCGCGGCCAGAAGCTGCCTCAAAAAGGAGACGTGGAGATGCTGTGCGGTGGGCCACCCTGCCAAGGCTTCAGCGGCATGAACCGCTTCAATTCTCGTACCTACTCCAAGTTCAAGAATTCTCTGGTGGTCTCCTTCCTCAGGTAAACGGAGCAGAGGTCCCTCTGTTCAGTGCTGCCTATGGGTGACCAGACAGCCAACCCCGGGGCTGTCACACTGGCCATGCCAGGGGGAGCAGTAAGTAAATGCTTTAGCTTTCACAGCTGCTGGAGGCCATGTGCTGAGGTGACACCCCAGCCCTTTCCTTCAGGAAGTTCGCGGCTCACTTTCCACTTGGAGGGACCTCAAGAGGTGGGAGGTGCAACTTCTCGACAGCCAGACATCGAGACAGCCAAACATGGAGCACTCAGGAATAGCTTTTGGTAGAGTAGGTTTTCTCTTACCTTGGTCCGTGCACTTACTCTCATGGTCTCTCCCGCAGCTATTGTGACTACTACCGGCCACGGTACTTCCTCCTAGAGAACGTCAGGAACTTTGTATCCTTCAAGCGTTCCATGGTCCTGAAGCTGACTCTCCGCTGCCTGGTCCGCATGGGCTATCAGTGTACCTTCGGCGTATTGCAGGTGGGGCTCCCATGGAATGGGGCGGAGGTGGGAGGATGGATTGCGTCAGTGGTCACTGGACCGCAGCAGACTATCTCCAGCTGAAAATAAGGCTCCAAGGGACAGGCCTTAGTGTGGTACCCTGCGGTGCAGGCGGGGGCGAGGAGATGGCCTCTGTGAAACTCGCAGCGTTTAGATCTGAAAGCTCAGAGCCGGTGTTCCAGCAAGTCCACCTCTGAGGGTCTTCCAGAGCTGCAGCTTGTGTGCCTGAGGTGCCACATGCAAGGGGACTCTTGGCCACATTGTTTGCAGCTCATTTCCCTCAATAGGAATGGTGGTGGCCAAGCAGATGCTCTAGGCAGTGATTCGATCTCCACGGAGGGGTGGGTGAGGCCTGGGTGGCAGAACAACATGTAGACCAAGCTGTGACAGGGTGAAAAGCAAGTGTTCCTCTGTGCGAATGTACGTGCATACAAACTCCTAGAGAGGGTGGAGGGTTGCACTGCCAGTGGCTACCAGTGTCTTATCTGCAGGGACAGCTATTTGGGGTGGCCAAAGGGGAGTCGACCTTACCTGTAAACAGCCACACTATGTCTACAGCCACACTGGGTACACCCATTCAGTAATTGTTGGCATAACTACCACTGAAATGACGATTAAAATGGGAGGTTGGCTAGAGAGCCGTGTCTGTGAGTGAGCGAGTGCCGGGGCCACATGATCCCCCAGTTCAGCCTCTGGTATCTCAGGCTCACTGGTCATGCCTGTTTGGCTGCCGTGTTCTCTGTCCCTGTGACCACGGGCTGCCAGGTAGGCGCTGAGTCTCCTCTGGCCTCTTCTCCGTGAGTGCTGAGACCACAGGGTCCCTCGCAGTGCTCCCTAAAGAGCTGGCGGGATCCCCAGCAGGGTTCACTCCATTTTCTCCAGTGGCTGCCACATGGAATCTGTGTTCTTTCATCTGGTCCCACTTCGTCTTGTCAGGAGTAAACCTGGGATAATTAGGGGTTCTCCAGGTGAGCTCTCACCAGCCAGGCTCTCCATCAAGTGGGGTGCTGCTGACCCTGGACCTTTGTTCCTCAGTCGGAGGTGCCCGTTGACCCTGTGTGTGTGTGTGTGTGTGTGTGTGTGTGTGTGTGTGGCTCTCCCCTGCACAGGCTGGTCAGTATGGCGTGGCCCAGACGCGGAGGCGGGCCATCATCCTGGCCGCGGCCCCTGGGGAGAAGCTCCCCCTCTTCCCAGAGCCACTGCACGTGTTCGCACCCCGGGCCTGCCAGCTGAGTGTCGTCGTGGATGACAAGAAATTTGTCAGCAACATCACCAGGTAGGAGCTCACCCCGCTGTATCACGGGCTTGCGTGCGTTATCCTGGGAGGTTTGGCATTAGCACTGCCGCCTTGTCTTGAGTTCTGACCCGAGTAAGCACTGCATACAGAGCAGTGGCCAGATGCCTGGCTATAGTCATGAGCAAAGCCCACACTAGCCTGTCCCCTTCCCTGATGGAGTCTCAGAAGAATGCTGCGCGTGTGACCTCAGGTGACCCTTTGACCTCTGAGTTGCATTGTTCTTTCTGGAGAAGACAGTACCAGCAGTCAGGAATGGCAATATGACTCAAGAAACAGTGCCGGTATGTCAACAGCAGAGGTGTTGACTGCTGTGCTCTATGCAGGTTGAGCTCAGGTCCGTTCCGAACCATCACCGTGCGTGACACGATGTCTGACCTCCCTGAGATCCGGAACGGAGCTTCAGCGCTGGAGATCTCATACAATGGGGAGCCTCAGTCCTGGTTCCAGAGGCAGCTCCGGGGCTCGCAGTACCAGCCCATCCTCAGGGACCACATCTGTAAGGTAACATGCCCGACAGAGGGGGCCTCTTTCCAGCTGCCTCATGGGACCACGGACCTACAGAAAGCCCAGCTGGGCTCGGGGTGGGAAGCAGTATCTGATTCCAGCCCTCCTCCAGCTCCTCTGCTCTTGGCCCCTGACCCAAAACGCTGTCATCTCGGCTGGCCCCAGCCTCGCCGCCTCACTGCCTCCTGCTTCTTTTCTTGCCCCGCCACCCAAGTCCTCCACAGTGGTACGCAGTTGTGTAAAGCATCAATCAGAGCGTTTGCTCTTCCTGGAATAGACCCAGAATGCTGTGTCTGGTCACTGCCCCCTCTGACTGACCTCTCGCCACGCTTGTTTTCTGCGTGTTGTCCCGAATATGCCAAACCTGGCCCTTTGTGCCACAGCTCCTGGCTCCTCCTCATACTGCAGGGCTCAGTTCAGATGTCCTCCCCTCGCTTGCCCTAAGCCATCCCTTCACCTGTCCCCCCCACGTTATTCCGCATCCCTGCCTTGTCTTCATGGCACCTGTGTTACCCCTGAGTTGTCCATTTGGGTGACTGTCTGCCCCAGTGGGAGTCAGCCCCTTGGGGGTTCTTGGTCATTGTGTTGTTCCCAGTGCCTAGAACGGTGGTGCCCCCAAAAGGTGCTCAGATGCTCCCTGAGCTGGGTGACAGCTGGGCCCTGTTGCCCTCTTTCAGGACATGAGTGCGTTGGTCGCCGCCCGCATGCGGCACATCCCCCTGGCGCCAGGCTCAGATTGGCGCGACCTACCAAACATCGAGGTGCGACTGTCTGATGGCACCATGACCAGGAAGCTGCGGTACACCTACCACGACAAGAAGAATGGCTGCAGTAGCACTGGGGCCCTCCGTGGGGTCTGCTCCTGCGTGGAAGGTGGGACCCCTGATTGTGCCCTTGGTGCGGCTTCCCCCAAGTTTATTGGAGAGCCCCTGCCCCCTCAGGTTCTATTCCCCCACAGTAGTCCAGGGGGCTCGGGGAAGGAACATTGCTTCATGGGGTTTCCCACCAGGAGATACTGGGTGCTGCCACTCACGGACCCAGAAGCCCTGGGCAAGGCACGCATGCCGAGCCTGGGTGCCCCGTGGTAAAAGTTGTGCCTGCGGACTATCAGCCATTCTGTCCCCTGGGTGGGCTCCACACACCATAGGTACCTTCCTGGGCCTCCCTCCTGTTCTGTGACGGCGGCCTCACCGTAGCCCTCTTCAGCAGGCAAAGCCTGCGACTCCACAGCCAGACAGTTCAACACACTCATCCCCTGGTGCTTGCCCCACACCGGGAACAGGCACAACCACTGGGCTGGCCTCTACGGACGGCTCGAGTGGGACGGCTTCTTCAGCACGACTGTCACCAACCCTGAGCCCATGGGCAAGCAGGTAGGTCAGAGGACCGGGGTTAGGCCTGGGAGGGGACAAAGGCACGGGCCTAGCGCGTCAGAAGTTGGCACTCTTCACCTCCTGCCTCAGTGCCGATGGACACAGGCTCACCAAGCAGCTGAGGCCTAAGGCTGGACTTGCCCATGGTGCAGTTTTCATCGCTGCCCCACCTTGCCTCTTGCCCCCAGGGTCGCGTGCTCCACCCTGAGCAACACCGTGTTGTGAGCGTTAGGGAATGTGCCCGCTCCCAGGGCTTCCCGGACACCTACAGGCTGTTTGGCAACATCCTGGACAAGCACCGGCAGGTCAGTGGAGTGGAGCCCGCCTGGTTCTCCTCTGGCCTTGAGGAGGGGCTACTGGGAGGGAGGCCCCTCTGCCCCTGACCAGGGTAGAGAGTTGTTCAGCAGGGAGCACAGCTCACATGGTCACTTCTGAGGGGTTCTGATTGGCCTCAGCACTCCCAGCAGAGGGACGGCCAGAAAGGAGGGTCCCTCTCCTTCAGTCCAGTGTGCTTACGGTCAGGCTGAGTCACTAAGCCTATTGGCTGCCAGTTACAGCTCTGAGGCAGATTTATCCCAAAGGACGGTTCCAACACAATGAACTTCAGAGAGGGAGCAGACTAAATGCGCAGTGGTGAAAATTCACAATTGCTGAGGGTTGAGATGAACCAACAATTCCTCACTGCTTCTCAGGGTGTTGGGTTGGCTTCCATCCAAGTAATGCACTCACATGGCTTAAAAAGTCCGCAGTGCCTGGGGTTGTGTCAGCAGCCTCGTGTTTCACCCTTACCTCCAGGCTTGTTCTCTGGAAGCAGCCACTCTCAGCTGGAAGTGAAACATGGTGGCTCCTGGATCTGAGTTTTTCTAAAGCCCTGAAAGGCTCCCTTATCTGTGGGTGTTTCCTGACATGTTGGTGTTTGGGGCGGGAGGATAGGCTGATTGACAGGGCTGAGGCCATCGAGATGGAAGGCTTCCGGGACCCCTGTGAGCATGACACCAGGGCCCAGTGTCCTCATTCTTGTGTTGGGCAGAGGGTGGCGCTGACTCTGGCCAGGCCAAACCAGGCATCGCCCTCCTTCACTTCTGCAGGTGGGTAACGCCGTGCCGCCACCCCTGGCCAAGGCCATTGGCTTGGAGATCAAGTGCTGTATGTTGGCCAAAGCTCGAGAGAGTGCCTCAGGTATGGCAAGGGTGGGTGGGCCGGGACAGCCAGGGTATATAACTCAGGCTCTGGGACTCGGGCGCGTTATACGCCCTCCCTGGTCCCCTCACTTCTCTCTGTGGGCTGCTGTGAGATGGAGGGACTTGCACATGTCGAGTGCTTAGAACAGGCGGGTGCCAGGCACACAGTGGGTGCGCGGTCAGGTCTTGGCACTTCCCTGCCCTTTTTTGCCAAGTGAGCCTGCCTCGGCCTCTAATCCAGGCGGTCTGGAAACTTCTAGGGGACACCTTTGCGCAACACTCAGTCTCCCTGAATGTTTATTCAGAGCTGTTGCAGGTTCTTTTACGGTCAGCTGTTAACACCGACGCCTGGCATGAAGGTAGCTCCTGACTTCATGTGTGTGGGCCTGTGGTGTGCCGCTGTGGACGTTCCCGGCAATGACCTTCCCTTTTCTTTCTCTTCAGTTAAAACCAAGGAAGAGAAAACTACCAAGGACTAGTTTCGCCCTCCTGTCGCCCTTGTTTCTGGTACCAGGGATCCCCACCATGCACTGATGTTGTATTTTTAACGTTGAATTCTGTCAGTTCTAATGTGTCGTACACGGTGTTTGTGGCCTTGGCTGACATGAAGCTGTTCGGTAAGGTTTGCTTATCAACTAATGACTTAGTGGTCACATTGTGCAGTACTTTGTGCATTCTGGATTTTAAAAGTTTTTTATTATGCATTGTATCAAATCTACCACTGTATGAGTGGAAATTAAGACTTTATGTAGTTTTTATATGTTGCAATATTTCTTCAAATAAATCTCTCCTATAAATCACCCTGGGTGGTGACTCGTGACTTACAAGGGGCTTCTGGCTGAGGCTTGGTGAGAATGTGCTCCTCGGTGCTAAAAGTCACCCCGCAGAGGCATTTGTCTGACATTAGGTCTTCCCACGTGTCCTGTGTGTGTTTGGGGGTGGGGGTCCACTTGTGTGACTCAGTTCTGACCAATAAGATGCAAGTGGAACTTGCTAGTGTGGCTTCCAGGAAAGTCTTCTAAAGGAATCGTCTTAGAAGCGTCAGTCACCAGCACCCACGACCCAGAGATGGGTGCCACTATTAGGATGTTAAGTAATGTTAAGTAACACTTGCTCTGCCACCTGCACATAGGCATCCATGAATGGGGCACTCAGCACTTCGACCCGCTTTCCACTCAGCCCAGGTGTATTAGTCACAAGAGTAAAAGACTAAATGTAATTCAAATGCACTTACTAACTTCCTTCCTGAGTGGTTCGGGTTTGCTACCTTTTGCTGTGACAAACAGCGCTGCACTGAACATCCTGTACATTCTCTTCCGTCGCCTCCTTCAGGGAAATCTCAAGAGGTCCCGGGGTCATCGAGTTTAAAAGTTTTCATACTTCCGTTTCAGGTCATGTGGCTGACCCACTCCTCTGGAGAGGCTTCAGCGCTGCCACCTCCTACGGCGCGAAGTTTCTTGAAGCCTGCCCTGGCTTTTGCCTCTTTAGTCCTTGTCAATGCAATAGCGAAAGTCTTGTTAACATTTTTTTACGAGTGACTCGACACTTCCATGTGTCTGGTGGCTACTGGAGTTTGTTCCTTGTCTCTGTAGTGACACACGACTTGGTCGTCCCTGGGAGCTATTCGGGCATTAGATTTCTACCACTGCTGTGTTACTTTCATCTTGAGTCATGACATCAATGCCATATTGAGATTTTATTTTTAGAGGTTATATTTGTCTGCTTTTGTTTTTCGGAGCCTGTTTAGAAAGGCCTTCCTTGCCCCCAGATCATAAGCTTATGTTTCCTTCCATATTTCTATGACCTCTCATTTTAACATGTGGATCACTTTTGGAAGGATGAAAACAGGCACCTCGGTTTACATGGTTTTTGACCAGGTAACAAAGGCACACGGCACACACAATAGCTGTACGTGGTATCTAGTAAAGTTCCCCCATCAGAGATTTTATTTTTTAGCTACACCTTTTTTAAAGCTAAAAACTCATTTAAAAGTATATTGTGAGTAGAGTGAAAAGTACATACTGTCTCTTCTGCATCCCGGTCACCTTGAATCCTTGTCTCCTTCCAAAGTCACTCTTTGCCTGAGTACAGATGCATGTCTCTGTTTGCTGCTACAAATGGTGGCATCAATTAAAACAGCTTTGTGCCTTGAAGGTTGTTCTGTAATACCGGTTGGGTTGTCGGAAAAGTCATGACGCATTTTTGCAATGAAAAACATAGAAAAAATACGTCATGGGGCCGGCCGAGTGGCGCAATGGTTAAGAACTGGCTTGGGACGCCAGAGGGCCCCGGTTCGGATCCCACATATGAGGGCCAGTGACACTGCCCTCCAC